TTAACACTTTGCACAGATTTGAGTCTTTCTTGCTGAGATTTCCAATACTGTACAATCTCTTAAAATGTCTAAATAATAATACATTTCTTAAGGACTATGATACCATTCTTCCTGAGTGAGGTGTCCTTTGTTTACATGTTTGTATTTTTTCTTTCCTTTTCATCTTATGTTCTTTCCATTTCAATGCAGTGCTGTTTCTTCTTTGTTTCTTCAACTAATAATAACCATGTTAGTCTGATGTGTGCATCCGTGTAAAATCTTTCTATGTGTGGAAGGATTTGATAATGAGTAAGCCGGATGCTCTCATTAAATAATACAGTTACTGTTGACATATATAATGACAGCCAGCAGTCTAGCCATAATCCCATCTCCTCATCCTCCTAAAACAGTATATTAGCTTTATGGAAGAATGTTTTATGAACATGTGATGGGAAGCAGCCCAGGATCTGGATGCCTGTTTCCATGACAACAAGGAAAGGCTCGGCAACTGGGCAGCATCATGAACACTGAAACACATGCTTTGGCTTCATGACATGTTGTGGATGATGAGAGGAGCAACTCTACTGAAGGTTTCCTGAATGCTTTTGACATTATTTTTCACCATAGCCTGCTTTGCCCTTGACTGGAAGGTAAGGTGAGAAGGTTATCTTTGTTTTAGCCATGCTCGTTGTATCTGATTATGTATAGTGCTTTCATTCTGTGTCCATAGCTCCTTAATGCAGGCTCATGCTGAACAGCGTGAGGGAGATGGATGTTTAAGTGTGTGTATCCATGGCAAAAGCACTTGTCTTCTCCTGCACTCAATGCTTTATACTAATAAGAGGAGTGAACCTGTATGTGTGAAGTCTCAGGCTCCTATAGATCTAGACATGCAGTTTGGGGGAGGGTGAAGAATAATACATACATCTAAAGCAACTGGACAACAGTAGCTATAATTAACTGCCTTGCTAATGAAAGCTAATAAGAGTCTAAATATATTGTGGAAGAAAATCTTCTTCATAAAAATGATCATATTACATAGTGAGTGTTTGTCTCACTGTTTGTGTATAGCAACATTTAATCAACAAAAACTAAATAAAAAACAAAAGTCAAAAATCTATCTATCTATCTGTCTGTCTGTCTATCTATCTATCTGTCTGTCTGTCTGTCTGTCTGTCTGTCTATCTATCTATCTGTTTATATAATTAAAAAAGCCTGTTTTAGAACCATTTGGATTTTATTTTGTATTCTGACATTTTTATGAATGAAAAAAATCTAAATAATGATCATTATAAAAAATAATAAAAACATAAAAATAAATAATCATTATTAAAAAAATTTAAGGTTTTTCGAATATTGTGTTTTATAAGAAAATTCTATTTCAGTCATACTTTTTAGGATACTTTTATGCATAGAAAGTTCAAAAGAATAGCATTTAATTGAAATTGAAAAATTAATATTATGAATGTCTTCACTGTCACTGTTAACAAATTTAATGCATCCTTGCTGAAAAATGAATTGAAAAATAAAAGATTTTCTCACCTGATTAGATATTTATCCAAAATAATTTTTAATGTTCACAATTTCACATTTAATTAATTGTGTTACTTGCCATTTCTTTACAATTATTGGCCAAATTTACTAGCAATTTCTGAATGAAAATTGTTTCTAATTCTAATTGTTTCGAATTATTGTAAATTCTACACCAATTTTTCTCTAACATTTTTTATTACTGGAATGTGTTCATTTTTGAGTTTTTTTTTACCCCCAGAAATTTTTCAGTAAACATTTTCACTTATTTTTACACAGTAAAAATGTACTTTTAACTTTTATTTTATGAGATTCACCAACAAGCATCTTTCCAAGTAGGTCCGATTACAAACAAGTTGATGTTTATGATTCCCACACCCTTAAATCAATTAATTTCCATTACTTATTTGCTTGTGATTACTGCATATGCATTTTTTTTATGTCACTCTAGAAACTTCCAATACATTTTCCAGGCCTGTTAATTATGTCGTTTTCATAGGAACCACAGATGTCCTCCACTCCACAAAAATGTAGTTAGTAGCACATTTTGACAGAGTAAACCCTAATGGCCTGTAACCTGCCATGTCAATATTCTCTGTTTGTTGTCTATAGATCTAATGTGTGCTCTTGTGGATTCGGCACAAAGGCCAAACAACAGGAGTGAAATGCAATCAGCTTTATTGAGCAGCTCATTCTGATACCAGAGTGATACCGGGCCGCAAGCGCTTCATGAGGAGACCGACATGGATCTTTTAAATCACTTTCCTCAGTTTCTCCCTGCAATGCAGGTTACAAAGAAAGAGTGAGAACAGGATTTAAGGTTAGTCCTTCTAAAGACCATTCATGTCATCGTCTGTTCTGCTCAAAATGGATTTTCATGTAGCTACAGTGAATTCTATTATCTATTTATCACCTTGTTTCTATTCTAAAGCAGCTGCTGCATTCATCCATCACGTCTGTTATTGATTAAATGTCAGCTGACCCAGTGGAGCATCTTCTTTAGTTATAATTAGGTATTATGGCTGTATACTGAAAGCTTATGCTCCCATTGGCAGCTGAAGCCAGGAATGGTGATGTCACCTCCATAAGCACCATTCCTTTACCATCAGCTCAGTGCCGTCTATTTTAATAGAATGTTCTATTAAATGTTCTCAGAATGTTCTATTTCAAAATAACGTTCTATTTTAATTTGTTAAAAAAAAAAAACTTGCAGCATTTTGTTTCAGTTAATGAACTTAAATTCCACTCAGTTCACGAGTTGGTGTTTTATTGGAATTGAAAGTTGAATTGCAATGGCAGGAAGAGAAATTAACTGAATTTCAATTCTAAGAAATTCAACACCCACACAACAGCAGTGTTTCATTAGTCCAAAACAAGGTTTACAACAAAATGTAAAGAAACATGACTAATTATGTCTATTTATTCATACACTAACATTAAAAAGTTTGGGATCTTTAAGATGTTTTAATGTTTTTGAAAGAAGATCAAAATTAATTGATCAAAATTAAAATGTAATTTATTCCTGGGATGCAAAGCTAAATTTTCAGCATCATGGCGTGATGTCAGTCATGTGATCCGTCAGAAATCAGTCTAATATGTTGATTTGGTTCTCAAGAAACATTTCCTATTATTATTCATATTGAAAACAGTTGTTCTGCTTCATATTTTTATGGATTTATTTTTTTGGAATCTTTGATGAAGTTCAAAAGAACATCATTTATTTGAAATATAAAACTTTTGTAACTTTTGATCACTTTTGACCAATTTAATGCATCTTTCTTTTTTAACAGTACATTTTCACACCTGATTAGACATGTTTATCTAAAATAAATTAAATACTGTCAACACAATTAGTTGTGTAGTTAGGAGAAAACGTCTCAGGTTACTTATGTAACCATGGTTCCCTGAGTAGGGAACGAGACACTGCGTCCTCTGAAGCATACATTGAAAAATACACTCTACTTGCTTATAAAAATAAAATAAAAATCACCCAAATAAACTAAAGTAAAAGCTTTTTGAGATCTTGTGAGCGCACGCGTCTGATGCTGCTAAAAGTAAGTTACTAATGTCGAAATTTAGGGTTAATTATTGTAACTGAAAATCATATTTAGGTCAAAACTGTCAGTTTGTGAACTAAATCTGTAAAGGGTGATCTGTTTAAGCCCACTGAAATGATTGAATGCAGACACATCAACATCTGTGTCTCTATTTTAGGTAAAAAAAACAAACATTTTAACATAGGTTAAACCGAAACATTCTGGTCACTATGATTTAGCCATAGAACCAACCAAAAACATCATAGGTCCAGTAGGAAACTGTTATGCAGGAAGCTTGGTGAGAGAGAGGGTGGTTACAGAGGAATTAGGAAGGGGAAGAAAAGGGTAGATGTTACACCCCCTGAGGAAAAGAGTGGATACCTAAGTATTACTCTGATGCAGCCATTTCTCGCCCGCCGCCGATGAGCGCGAGAAGGAAAGCCCCTCTCTAAACTCATCGGCCAGGTCCACCTGAGATCCCCACGAGCTCATTCTCCTCTGTGCCTCAGCAGCAGCAGGTCCTGAACCGCAGGAAGCAGATGGCTGCCCCTCTTTACTCGAAAAGAGAGACAAACGAGAACGGAGCTTTTTCATTGGAAAACGCTCGCAGTGCACGCAGATTGCCCCCTCGAGGACATCGCGTGCGTGCTCTTCGCCCAAACAAACAACGCATAGATCGTGTGAGTCATCGGGTGTCAAATAGCGATGACACGGATGCACACACCTTCTAAACGCTCTGCTAGTGCTCGCCATAATGAAATAGAGATAGCTCTTACTTTTTCCTTGGAAATGCACGCTTCAAACAGAACAGTTAATGAAGACGAAGAAGAGAATGATGTGTGCTCCCGGCGCCTATTTATACTATAGTCGCACCGGTCGTGACGTCATGGCTGTCGCCGGCCAACGAGTTGGTGTTTTTTCAATGTATGCTTCAGACACGGGTCACGACGAGGCGTTCCCCATAGCGACCCCTAGAGGACGCAGTTCGAAGTTCCCATGAAAGGGAACATCTGGTAGAGTTTCTTTCCCTCAAGTGTTAATAACATAATAAATGAAGCATGTGTTTCTCATTAAAATGATAAAAAAAAAATACTGTTCTGTGGTTCTAAATCTTTTCTCTCTTCTGTGGAGCAAAGATATTCTGAAAGGCAATGAGGTCAAAACAACATGTGAATCCACTGACAGAATATAGAAAGTTATGTGAAATGACATGAATGAATTAGTGAATGTGCTGATGTTAACGTGGTACTTGATCTTTGACACACATGATCTTTAAGGTGTTTCCCATGTAATTCATCATTCAAGAACGGTATACGTCACTAAACTTGATTCCTCTTGACTTCACTAAACCCAGATGAGTCACCGGATCCTGAGGATCATTCGGCACCGCCGTCATATTCAGTGCACCCCAGTGATTCACTCACGTCCGTCCTGCGGGTTTCACCCAGTCACTGATGATGCTGCAGCCCTTCGACCCGCATCACTGCTCACAAAACATCACAGCAGGTAAGAAGGGAAAGCCTGCTTCATCTGTACCAAGAAGAGAAGCATAAATGGTCAGAAAATGGGCCGTGTTACATCAGAAGGTAAGATGACGTCATTCCTTCCCTTTTTTCTCAGAATGTTTAAATCCACAGAATGCCAGACCTCCACAGAGTCCACATGACCAGTGGATGATGTCTGGTTCATCATGCTCATAAGTAAGTGTTTAGAAAGCATTTATAGCTTTTACTGCATGCATAAGATATTTAACTTTTTAAAAATTTAATGTTTTTTTTTTCCCTCACAGGAAACTGATGGCAATGTTTTGCATTTGAGGACTGATATAAACAACATCAAATAATTGGGACTGAAACAGGAATCTGAAGTTCTGCTGTCACACTGAGAGAAAATTTCACATATTTGTTGACTTGTTGTTTCTGACTTAATTATGAATTGCTGTTTAACCCTTTAACTGTCACCCGTCCCCTCTGTGGGACGCCTAAGTTTACTTCACTATATTACAATTAAATCCTAATCTAATCATGACAAACTATATATCGTTGGAAAGGTCTAAGACTCCTAAATAGATATTTTACCAATGTTTTTGTTAAAAATTATGTAGGAAAAGTAATAGATTAATCTATGACAAGAGTGCACCTCAGAAATCTACATCATAACAGGAGTTCTGACCTTTGTCAAAAAAAGTCTTCTTTGTTGCCTTTTTATCACACTTTAGAAATCATCAGAAATTATATATCAATTGAAAACTTTAAATCTCAAAATTAATCCTTTGAAACCCATTTTAAAATCAAACATTGCATTACCATGAAAATGGTACATCAATATCATGTTACAAAATGTTTTCGTTCATGAATTATAAAAATGTAAGTTTGGATCGTGCACTTTCACGTCTATGTTCAAAAATGTGAGTGACAGTTAAAGTGTTAAAAAAACATGTTGGTATACAAAATATGATTATGGAAAGTAGTTCAACAACAGCATTTATTCGGCTTTGGAAAGATACACAATGCTGAAAATGAATGGTCTGTCAACTGTGAAACATTTTTGGTTAAAGATGTTCTGCTTTGCCAGAGAAATCACTATTATAAGTTCTCATAATGTGATGAATTGCTTATGCTTCTCAGTTGCAAGTCGCCTTGGATAAAGCATCTGCTAAATGTTTGAATGTAAAATGTTGAACCAAAAAAATATTATTTATAATTTATATGAAACTCTCAGTTTATTTATCGAAAGCACAATACCTAAAACATAGTATATAAACATTAAAAACCTTTGATAAATGAAAACTTTCACCAGAGTAAACATTTGGTCCACATATTATTATTACTTTGAAATGCATTAGTCATTCTGCATTAGTCATTTTAAAGATGTCACTAGAGTTATTTAGCATGTTACAGTATCTGACATTTCCTTAAAGGGACAGATGTGGTTACCATTAACCTTCATGGAAAAGAGCAGCTTGGACGTTCAGCTAGGAAACTCCTGTTTTGTTTCACACAAAAAATGTTTGGAGCAACATGAGAGTGAGTAAATGACTAACAAAACAGAGGGAGGCCTCCAGTTTCCACTAAAATTGACTTGAAAGACTGAAGCCAATTAAAATTAATGTGAGCAAAATTATATATACAACAGTTTTCCAACCGCTTAATTGGCTGGTGCAGCTGTTGAGTTCAAGATTCAAAAAGGAAGCAGACCATGTTTGCAAGTGATTAAAGAAATCATTCTTTATCTTCAAAATGATGCCATTTAAAACAACATCTCTTCTAAAAATCACTAGAAAATCTTTTCATGAGCTAAAAGCCTCATTTAGGTTTTTAACCCTCATATTCATGTCTTTCTTTTTAATGTAAACATTAACACTATTTGCACTACAAACCAGTATGTTTATAGCCTAGTTATAAAGAGAGAACAAATTAAAATAATATGATAATAAATACCAATTTGTACTATCAAGCAGCATAACGACCTGTTTTGTACTAAAAATGGCATCGGAAGCAGTGTGCATTCAGGTTTAAAATGATCGCACCCGCTCATACCTTAAAAATAAAGTGGATAAATTAACATTTCAAACACCCATGAAAATATTAGAGGTCTCTGAAACATACAGAAATGCATCTGAAGGTTCTCCGAGTGAACCAAACAATTTACCAGCTGTTTCCTTTCATTTCTTTGACTGAATTTTCTGCAGTGTTTTGCTGGACTCGAACTGACCCAAAATTGAATAACGCTATTGGATAAGTCACATTTCTGTTTGAACAACTTAAAACTGACATTTAATGTATTTGGAAACAATGTCTTAAAGTAAAAACTTGAAAGAAGTGCAGTTGTTTAGGATATACGTTTTTCGGTTGTTTCTTTTTCACCCCTGACATGTTTGGTTATAGCATTTGTACAAAATGTTTGGTTCTCAATTAAAATAGTTGTAAAAATCCTGTAAAGCGCACGCTTTAGTGAAGAATACTAAAACAGAAGAATACTGTCTTCTGGAGTTTAACTGTCAGATGAACATATTTCAAGAGAATGGAAGTTATGGAAGCCCGTTTCCGCCACTGAATAAAAAATAAAAGAGGTAATTGCGACTTTTTATCTTACAATTCTGACTTTTTTTTCTCAGAATTGCGTGATACAAACTCAATTCTGAGAACATATCAGTCTTTTTTCTATATCTCGCAATTCTGACTTTATAACACGCAATTGCGAGTTAAAGTCCAATTTTGAGGGGGGGAAAAGACTGATATGTTCTCAGAATTGCGAGTTTATATCTCATAATTCTGACTTTATAACTCGCAATTGCGAGTTTATATCTCACAATTGCGAGAAAAAAAGTCAGAATTGCGAGTTTTTATCTCGCAATTATGACTTTATAGCTCGCAATTGTGAGTTTATATCATGCATACATAAAAACGAAAACTCGTGGTACTGATATGCAAAAATGGACTTTGGTGTGTATATGCTACGCGATGGGTAGGTTTAGGGTTGTGGGGTAGATGCGTATCATATGTACGGGAAAACTGCGTATCATATGCACGCCAACAAATTTCGTATCATATGCACGCCAAACACATGCGTATCATATGCACGCCAAAGTCCATTTTTGCGTATCAATACCACGAGTTTTCGTTTTTATTTGGCGTACTATTTATACGACTTTCATGAGACCAGGCTCATTCTGAGACAAAAAGTCAGAATTCTGACTTTATATCTCGCAATTCTGTCTTGTGAGATATAAACTCGCAATTGCGAGTTATAAAGTCAGAATTGCGAGATATAAAGTCAGAATTCTGACTTTTTTTCTCAGAATGAGATAAAAAGTCGCAATGACCTTTTTTTTTATTTTTTATTCAGTGGCGGAAACGGGCTTCCATAGGAAGTAAAGGAGGTTGATAATAAAAAAAAAACGTTATTATTCCCTCACATATCGCATTGGAGTCTCTGGGAACCCAAAGATACAGAACATAGAGAATTTGCAATAGGTAATAAAGATCGTTCACCAACAGATTTGCATGTAAAGCATGCATACGATGGTTAATATAGTGTTTACTGACATGAGCTCCCTAAGAGCAGGGTTGCAAGCATACAATTTGCGCAAACGCACGCGAGGAGCAGCAGTGTGGTGGTGATGCTCGCTGCATGCCGCATGTCTTGCGTCGCATAGCGCACACACACAGACGGAAGCGGGCTCGTGTCAGCTGGAATCACCTTTACACATTATTTGACGTTCAGTAAACGCGACGAATCCGAGGAATTTGGGTTCGACACACGCGAAACCGGACGGCTTGCGAGCACCAGCGCATTTCCATCAGCCTCTAACGCGTTACTTGAAGGTGAGAGGCGATGCATGCATGCATATGCAGCCGTGAGACATTTATGCGCGTCGCAGTCATGCGTTTCTTTTTTTTTTTGTGCTTTTGCCATTTAATGCAGCGAAACGATGGGTGAAGTCAATGGGTGAACGTGTGAATGAATGAATGCATGCATGAGTGACTGAATGAAAACGTTCACTCGAATGCATTATTAGTACGTGGCCTGATTTGAGCACTTTGCGCAGGTTAAGGGTGTATTAGGCTTTCATTAAAACTGTGATGCATTTGACAGCCAATGATACAATTGCAACAAAAGCTCACTGGTTGCTTGTTACTCTCTATTTGCTCAGAGACGAACCTTTGGTGTTGTGTAATGAATTTGAGAGATGCACTGATGTTTCTCAGCCTCACTTGAGAGATTTTTGATGTGATTTGAGCGCAGTGCAATGCACAGGCAAAAGGGACTGCGTCGTTTCTCTGCGGGCTCTGTCGGAATGGACCAAATTCACATTGGTGCATCACTAAAACACATTAAAATGATCAGTTGGGATGTGAAATGTTAGTAGGGTCCGTTATATGTATATGCAAATCTATTCTGCCCATATTCTGTCACGTCAAAAGGCTCGTGATGTATAAATGGCATCTAAAGCGAACGCACTGATGGCCACACTGCTCTTCAACATATCTTCGTCATTAAGTCCAATAATTCCTCCGTTTAAGATCACAGATCGTTATTCTGCATTGCTTCCCAGTGGTTTCCCTTCTCAAGGTCATTCGTTCAGCCATTGGTGCTTGAAAAAGCCTCAGCACTATTACATAAGAGTGACATGAGATTGGATGGTGGGTAATAATTCCTGACGGTCTTTAATTAAAGCCGCATTCTTATCAAATGTGTTCGAGGCTGCTCTGTTTTTCACGCTCACATTTGATGCAGGAGAGGCTGCAAACACAGACAGACGCTCCACATGGAAATAAAAAGCTCCTCTCCAACCCCTCCCCGTTTGTAGCCTATTTTACCTGATGCCCATTTACACACAAACTCTCGTGCCTTTGGTCAGCACAACACAGCCAGGCTGCTTGCAACAATCTGATCACAATTGACAACGTGTTCTTAATTTTTCATTTAGTAGGCTACTTTGTGTGCATTATGGGGCTAGTTGTAAATATACATTTGCATTCATATTTTAAATAATTTAATATGCATGACATCATGTTGCTCCTTCT